TTTTATTATTCATGTTATAGTGTTACATGTAGTAGGGACACCCCTTGTTTGTTCTTGGCTGCCCAGACTACCGAAATAACCACACAAAACTGTATTAATTAAATCACTGCTTGGCCCATTAGTTCTAGTTTCTTATTTTCTAACTCTTATATCTTACTTTAACCCATCTCCATTAATCTGTGCATCATCATGAGGTTGTGGCCTACCAGCCAAGTTTCAGTGTGTCTGTCTCTGGTGGTAGTTCCATGGCTTCTCTCTGACTCTGCCCTTCTTTCTCCCAGCATTCAGTTTAGTTTTCCCTTCCTAACTCTGTTCTGCCTTGCTCTGCTATGAACTCAAAGCAGTTTCTTTATTAACCAATGGTATTCACAGCATGCAGAAGGGAATCCCACATCAGTTATGCAAAGTAACATGTGAATGAAGTGAAAGTAATTTAGCAAGATGGTTTCTTTTGGCAAAACTGGTGTGCCAGAACTCATACTAGGCTAGTGTGCACACTTGGCCAAAATGGCCTGTTTTTATCTCTGACACCGGGTGACTGCATCTCATTCTATTGCTGGGAGCTGGACTTCACAACATGATAAAATTGGCTAATCGGTGCAAAGAGGAAGAGGGAGATTGAGGAAATTCGAGCTTTTGGTGTGGGACAATGGTCCGTATTCTGTCAATTATATTTTAAATAAACACTGATTGGCCAGTAGTCAGACAGGAAGTATAGGTGGGGCAACCAGACAGGAAGTAGAGGTGGGTCAATGAGAACAGGGAATTCTGGGAAGAAGGAAGTCCTAGTCTGCAGTCGTGACCCAGTCACAGAAGAAGCAAGATGTGACTGCCTCACCAAAAAATGTACTGAGCCATGTGGCTAACATAGACAAGAGTAATGGGCTAATATAAGTTGTAAGAGTTAATAAGACATCTGAGCTACTAGGCCAATCAGTTTATAACTAATATAGACCTCTGTGTGATTTCTTTGGGACTTAACAATTGTGGCAACCAGGCAGGACAGAAACCCTGACAACACTTTTGGGTTGACTAACTTTTATAAAAAAAAAATGTGTCTTACAAATCCCAACTCTTTGTCATACAATGTTAAAAACTCACCCTGTCAAGAAAAAGTCATCCTAACTGCTATTATGGAGTATAGGCAAAGACTTAACTGATTTTTTTCCAGTCTGATAGATGAGGTCACCAGGCATGGCAGGGTACCCCTCCAGTAGGCCTATCTAAAAGACCCCAAAAATGCCTCCTAGTTTCATTTGTATAACAGCCAGGTGCATGAAGATAAGGAGGCTCTTGACTGATACTTGGAAAAAGATGTGAGGGAGGAATGAGGGCAAGAGGGATAGTGTATCCTAAGCAGAGAATCTGGAGATGGCACAGAGGATATTTTTTAAATGCTCCAATCAAAGTTCATGAAAATATATGAGAGGCTCACTCTTCATTCGTCTTTGGCCTCTAAGGCTGTTTTCTGGAGTGCTGGACCCAGGATCTGCTTTCAGGTCCTCTAATAACTGTGGAGTGGTGAGAAGCAGTATGAGTTCCCTCCCAGATGGCGTCTAGAGAGGGAAAGAAGAGGAGGCCATCATTTAACTTTTAGGTTAAAAAGCAGTCTTGCCTCTCTTGGCTGCAGTGACATGTATAACGTCTTGTATCCAGGCAGCATTTTTCTTATCAAGAAGAAAATCACTAGTGATAGTAATATCCCATATTAACTTAAGGCTAATGTCTAGGAGTATGAATCCTTAGACCAGGAGTTTTCAAACTGTGTGTTGTAACCCTTCTGGGGGATCAAATGGTCTTTTCATAAGGGTTGACTAAGACCATCTGAAAACAGATATTTACATTATGATTCATAATGGTAGCAAAATTACAGTTAGGAAGTAGCAATAAAAATAATTTCATGGTTGGGGTCACCACAACATCAGGAACTGTACTAAAATATTCAAACCATTCAAAAGGTTGAGAGCCACTGCCTTAGATCATAAGAAAACATAATGATAGTTTTAGTCTTTGTTTACACTTTCCTTTTGGGTTTTAAACTATGTGGGTGGCCAAAAATTAATCATGTACTTTTTACTGTCAAGGCCAGTTGAAAATCTAGTCCTTAGGGGCCACTGAGGCTTGAAAGGAACCTCTCTCTACCTTTCCTTCTATCAGTCGTGTTGTTTTGTGAGGATCCCAAAGGTCTTGCTTGACCATGGCTTTGCTTAGAGGTATGGAGAACATTTTTCTTTGTGTTGAGCTCCTTGTAGACTGATATGGTTAGAGTTCACTAGGTGGGGCCTCCATGGCTTCTATGAGCAAGAAAACAGATGAATCTCCACAGTTACTGGGCATTTGGAGAGATGCCCCATAGTTCCCTGGGGCCTAGTTGGCTTTGAAGGGCAAGGAGTGGTTAAGAATACTTGCTGCTCTTGCAGAGGAACTAGGTTTGGTTCCCAGCACCACATGGTTGTTCAGAAACATTTATAACTTTAGATCCAGGAAATATAACCCCCTCTTCTGACCTTCCAGGACACGAGGCATGCAAATCGCACACAAAATACATGCAGACATAAATACATAAAAATATCAAACTTTAAAATCTATGGCACTAGGGCTGGAGAGATGGCTCAGTGGTTAAGAGCACTAACTGCTCTTCCATGTTGGAGGAGGAGCTGCTTGTTCGTCCCAGTCCCCCAGAACCGAAATAATCACATAGAAACCATATTATTTGAATCACTGCTTGGCCCATTAGCTCTAGCTTCTTATTGGCTAACTCTTACATCTTAATTTAACCCATTTCTATTAATCTGTATATCACCACGAGGTTGTGGCCTACCAGCAAAATTTCAGCATGTCTATCTCCAGTGGAGGCTCCATAGCATCTCTCTCACTCTGCCCTCTTTCTCCCAGTGTTCAGTTTAGTTCTCCCCACCTACCTAAATTCTGCCCTATCAACAGGCCAAGGCAATTTGTTTATTCATTAATGGTAATCACAGCACACAGAGGGGACTCCCACATCACTTCCAGAGAATCCCGGTTCAATTCTTATCACCCACATGGCAACACATAACTGTCTGTAATTCTAAGATCTGACACTCTCACACAAGCATACATGTAGGCAGGACACCAAAATATAAAAATATAAATAAATAATTATAAAAAACTATGGTGTTAGAGTTGACAGAACTCAGAGAGGGAATGCATCAACCTGTTCCTTTCCCTTACCATGTTAAGCGTAACTGGAAAGAAAGCAAAAAGCAAGTACTCAAGTGGGACAGAAACAGAAGCATAGAGCAGACAAGGAGTGTTGAGAAGGGAAAGCATACTTCACTCAGAGAAAAGCAGGACTGGAAATGCCAGGCAATAAGAGCAGGCATTAAGACCCACCATAGCCCATGTCTCAAGGCTGATTTCTTTTTGCTCTGAGCCACTGTAGCTGCCCCTTGGCGGCAGCCTGTCTAGTACCTGGCAATCTATGTTTGAGTACTGTATGAGATCTGTACTTTTCCAAGTTGTCCCTGGGCAGCCGCACATTCACATGGACTTTACAAGTCGGCCGTTTCAAAGTGTCAGCTCCCTCCGATCATGTTGAGAGCACATGACTGTAAAAACTCTTTTCCCTGAAATCGGGAAGTGTATCATGTAAAATAATGTGTCAAAATCAAAACAAACCAAACCAAATCTACTATGGAGGTTTGGTGTTAACTTCTTACGGTGATATAAAAATGCATTGACCTTGTCACTCAGCAATACAGTCTGTTATGCCCAAATTCGCCCCATGTTGGAGTCTTCTGTGGGTCTCCCATTTCCTGGACCCCAGGAGGCAACAACAAAACAACAACAAAAACTGAAAGAAGAGGACTGGGACATGTGACCGAACACCGTTAGTGTAGGAGATCTAGGGGTGTTCCAGACCAGCCTGGTCACACAGAGAATTACAGGCCAACCAGGACTACATAGTGAGACCCATCTAAAAAAAAAAAAAATTAAAAAAACTTCAGAGGGGTTGGAGAGAAAAGAGGGAGGGGATGAAATACTGTATTTTAGTAAAATTTTAAAAATTAAGGAAGCTCCACAGATTGCTGATAGTGGCAGATTAGATGTGTCCCTCACAACTGACATTTGGACAGAAAGTTCTGTAGGAAAAAAGACAGTACACAATCCCCAAACACAGGTGTGGGCTTTTGCAGGGCATCTCATTTAGGTGTGTCTTCAATGTATATAGATATATCAGTGCATATATGAATTATCTGTGACTTTCTAAGTTCTATTTTGCAAAGGATGTGATTTATAATAAGGTTTAAAGATTAAACAAAGCTTAAAATTTAAATAACATTTTAAAAATTAAGTACACTATATGAACTGGTTTACTTATTCTTAATGAATTTTCATTTTCAAATGAAATTGTTCAATGGTTTTATGAGGTGCATTGTTCACATTTAGGGTTGAGAGGAGTGCTAATACGGTGAAATTCAAGATTGTAGGCATTTTGGCTCTAAGTATGCAAAATTTCTTTGTTGCAGTATTATGTAGCGGGGGCGCGCCCCGCCCCGACGAGCCTGGAACTTGCTATGTAGATCATGCTGACCTCAAACTCTGGGAGTGCCTGCCTCTGTCGCCGGGTGCTGTGATTGCAGGGGTGCACTGCCATTCCCGGCTCTGATATTTTGTTTTTAAATTTGTCTTTAACATATCAGTTTGAGAAGTCTTTACGAAAACACACTTTTTTCTCTGTAAGCAAAGTTTTGGCTGTATCACTTGTGTTTACATTTTAATTTTTTCATCAGGAAGTCTCAGGGAGAGGGGTTTCTTCCTTTTTCATGTCCTCTTCATTTTCTCTGTCTTTCTAGCGCCTCTCACCACCAAAGGTTAGAATTTAGCGGGGTGTCCTCAATAAAAGCCTCAAGACTGTTGTGGTTCAGTGGTGGCGAGAGGCCGCGGGTTCACAGATCTGGTTTATCAACAAGGGAAGAACAGGACCCAAGAGGAGGAAAGGTTTATGAGCCTCCTGAGACCCCGTAGTTCCCGGGCTGTGTTTTTAACTTCGCCGTGGTTTTGGTCATCCGGAAAGGCTGGCCTCGCCCAGAAATCTTGCTTTAACTTTAGTCTCCTCCTTTGGCCCGGTTTTTCAACCTCCGCTTCGCGATCAATCCGAACCCAAGTCTCAGGAACCGAAATTCCTATTCCGGAGGGATTCCGACTCGGCAAGCGGAAGTGAGCCGCAGCTCGTCTCCGTCTTTTCCGGTGTGGCTTAGCGCGGCCCGTTCTCTTTTCTCCCCGGTGGTGGGCTGGCTAGACGGGCTCTGGTGAGACGGGTGAGGGGATGGGCGGTGGCCGAGGTGGGGAGTCAGGCCTGATGGTGGCCTTCGTGGGGACCCCGCTCGTCCCGGGCCGCGCGTCTCGCCCGGTCGCCCCTCAGAGGCTCGGGCCCAACGGTCCTCCTGCTCCGGCCGGGGGCCATCTCGCTTAAAGTGTGCGTTGCTCACCCTGTGTCTTCGAATATAGTTCTTGCTGCCTCGAACGCCTTTAAGGTGATCTTATAAAAATTTTGTTTTTCCAGAAGGAAAAAGATTTCCGCCGTTGGAGCCCGGCTTGGCGCCCCATCGCCCCACGGACCTGGCCATCTTGGCACTTACTGGTGAGCAGTGGGTGGAATTTGATGGACAGGAAAAATCTCTGGGTGAGGGGCTTTTTTTTTTTTTCCATATCCACTTTTCACTGTCTTTCTAGCCCGTGTCAATGTCAGCGATTAGATTTTTAGCATTCTTCCGTTTTGGAAACAGATACATTCCACGAGTTCGGTTTCGTTGTTGTTTTTTATCTTCTACGCACCATTTTGACAAAAAGAGAAAAATTTAAATGCTCGGGGTGTGCAGACCACAAGTCATCCCTTCCCCTTCTTTTCATCTCAACTATAAAGTGGTCACAAGTGAAAAACAGGCAGCTTGGCACTGAAAGGATGGCTTACAAAAAACTGGAATTTGGAACTCGAGAGGTGGCTTGGTTGTTAAGAGCTCACGTGGCGCTTCCAGAGGACCTGAATATGGTTCGCAGCACTCGTATTAGTGGTTTCTAACACTGTAACTCTAGCTATGAGGGGATGGGGAGACCAGGCACTTACACTCGTGGGACTCATTAGTACATACACATGATTGAATAAGTGGAATTCTAATAACGAGTGGATGAGGCTTAATTTTTCTAAAGTATTATATTTGAACTTAATTATTTTCTCTGTGGGGGAGCATGTGTCAAGAAAACTTAGAATCTTTGTGTTAAATTGCAGGAAAACAATAGGTTTCATTACGTGTTTATACATTTACACTGTGCATTTTGATTTTACAATCTCTTGCGTCTTCCCACTCTCTCTTTTGTCAAATAGACCCTCATGTAGGCTTTGCTTTAAAAACAAAGTTTATTGGGGCTGGAGAGATGGCTGTTTTAGAGCATTTGTTACTCTTGCAGATGACCAGGGTTCGGTTCCCAGCACCCACGAGGTGGCTCACAACCATTTGTAATTCCAGCTCCAGAGGATTTGGCCTGGAGGGTCACTAGTCACTCAGGTGGTACACATATCTACACGCAGGCAAAACATTAAAAAGAAATCTTTAAAAAGAGGTGTGTGTACCTTTGTATATATGTATGCCTTTCTGTAGAGGCTGAGTTATTGATCACCTGAAGCTGGACTTAGAGGTAGGTGTGAGCCACCTGTTGTTGCTGCTAGAAACACCTGTTCCTCTGAAAGAGCATCACTCAACCACTCTGACATCTCTCTTCTACTTTATTAAATATTATTATGTTTTAAACAAACTTTCACTTTTTATATGTATAAGTATTTTGTCTGAGTGTAGATCCGTGCTCCCTGTGAGTGGACTTTCCGTGGAGGATATCAGATCACTGTAGCTGGAGTCACAGGTTGGTGCTGGGAATTGAATCCTGGCCCTTTGAAAGAGCAGCCAGTATTCTTAATTTCTGAGCCATCTCTTTAGTTCCATTATGATTTTTATTTTATTTACTCATTTTGAGACAAGGTAGTCCAGGCTAGCCTGACACTCAGTGTAACCCAGTGCAGTCCTACTTCAGCCTCTCTAGTGTTTGGATTACAGACATGCATGGACCACTGTGCCTGGCCTTTAAAGATAAAATTTTTTTTTATCTTTTTTTTTATCTAGATTTCATTAGAGAAACATAATATTTGTTGGTATATTTGCTTTAATGCGATCTCTTTATATCCATGTACTGTTGTAAGACAACCATTTGTTAATCTATTTGAATTTTAAGGTCTACTTCCTTTGGATTTATCCTATTAAAGTTGCAGCAGTAACTTAGCTGATGAGAGTTGATGGCTTAGTCTTACCTGCTGAGATTGAGGAAGAGATTGCTTGAGCCTGTGAGATCTGGACTAACTGTGACAACAGAATGAGATGTTCCCAACAAGAAAAGTTGTCAAAGTATGATTAGTGGAAACAAGAATGTTAATGTACAGCTGAGGAAGCCTAGATTCACTGAGTCACAGTGCGAGTGGGCAGATCTGCTATAGGCCCTGAGAACCAGACTTTTGGTAGCCCAGAATAATTTAAAAATGTCCACGCTGGCCAGGCGTGGTGGTGCATGTCTTTAATCCCATCACGATGGAGGCAGAGGCAGGCAGAAATCCGAGTTTGAGGCCAGCCTGATCTACAAAGTGAGTTCCAGAATAGGCAGAGCTACACAGAGAAACGTTGTTTCAGAAAACAAAAACAAACTAACAATAAAAGCCTACACTGAATAAGACATTTCCTGGTCCTGGTATTGATCTAATTAGTGGAAAGGACAGTAAGGGAAATTTGCTCTTAAGCCGTTTGGTCACTGTCATTGTGCAAGCCAGGTTTGGAGTGAATTGGCAAGATGACAATCTAGAAACTTAATCCGATGGCTATCAACCTCATTTAGTGAACATCTAATTCAGGAAAATAATAGTGGAGATGTATGTCTTAATGCAGACCACAAATCTGTCGAAAGCTACACTTCAAGTAAAATCTCAAGTAGGAAATGATTTTTACAACTTTGAAGAAATTTGACAACTTCAGTGATTGGGTTCACATTCCTTTAACTGACAGTTATAATAAGCTAACTTAAACATTCATGGTACAGATTGCTGTTCTACCCAATCAACAAAAAGAAGAGACTCCCACATGAGACACAGTATATGTACCAGTGGAAGAGAGCTCCTTTGGGAAATTCCGTAGATACATAACCGTCAGTTTCATGATGTATCATTCAATGTGGTGACTTTAAAAATAGGACAAAAGTGATTGATTACATACATCAAATATCTCCAGTGAAAAAGGCATGTTATCTTGCAATTTTATATACATTTTAAAGTATTTTAATTTTGATAAATTATTTCTGGGTTAAAAAATAGCAATGTAAAAAACCAGATTTCCATGTGGCTTCATAACTCGCCTTTGGTCAGCTGACTCAAATATCCTTAACTTTATTATCATTACTAATATTACTGAGACAGAGTTTCTCTATGTAACAGTGATTGGCCTAAAACTCACTATTACACCAGATTTCCCTTGTAATCACAGTGATCCACCTGACTTTTGCTTCCTGGGCCTCCATACCCAGGCCTGTTTAGTGTGTGTGTGTGTGTGTGTGTGTGTGTGTGTGTGAGAGAGAGAGAGAGAGAGAGGGAGAGAGGGAGGTATCTATTACCATGGTCTATAGTTTCTCAAAACTTAGAGCTGCTTTTAAGTCACATTTTTTTTTAAGATAAAAATCCTGTTTCTGTGTGTGCACATGTGCATGCACTCATGTTTGTGTGTGTGCACGCGCGTGCGCATATTTATTTACTATGGTTAAGGTTATTTAATTTTTGATATTTCAAGACAGGGTTTCTCTGTGTAACAATCCTAGCTGACTTGGAACTCACTCTGTAGCCAGGCTGGCCTTGAATTACAGAGATTTGTCTGTCTCTGCCTCCTGAGTGTTGGAATTAAAGACATGTGCCATCACTGCCCAGTGTGTACTGCCACCGCCTGGTGTGGCATGTATATATATATGTATATTTTGAGACAGATCTTAACTGTGTATGCCTGACTGCCCTGGAATTCTCTGTGTAGATCAGGCTGGCCTCAAACTTAGATATCTGTCTTCTTCCTCCCAAGTTCTAGGATTAAAGGCATGCACTACTATGCCTTGCTAAAGATGAAATCTTGGTGGCGGGGTGGGGCTGTGTGTGGGTGGGGAGGATGGTAACAAAGGGCTAGTGCTTTTAGGTACTTGTTCCCTTCTGGGATAACATACATCAAAATTAAATCAATTTATTGATGCTGTTTTTAAGATATTTTAGATTTTTTTTTCATGTAAAATCTTAAGAATGACTTCAATTAATAGGTGGCTAAAGTGTCTTTTTCATTTGATTTTCTACCTGACAAGGTCCTGGTAGTCTGCATGGCCCCATAAGGGGCTAGATATTGAGCCTATTGGTAGAGCATTTGCTTAGTGTATAGAAGGTCTTGGGCTTCACCTCCAGCACTACAAAGAAAACAAGATTGATTCTTGCAAATCCAATGAATTTTGAGGACATTCAAAGACAAACATTTTGGTTTAACCCGTTGACATTATTTTGTGATAAAACTGACAACCAGAAGACATGTTATTTAGCCATTTAAAAAAGGGGGGGCACTGTAAACTAAACCTCATTTATGTTGTCTTGATAGAGAAATAAAAATGATTATATTTTATTTTTTTAAAGATTTATTTTATGTATATAATACTCTATGTTCATGTTTGCCTGCATGCCAGAAGAGGGCACCAGATCCAACTAGAGTTGGTTGTGAGCCATAGGTGTGGTATCTTAAAGGCTATTGGCTGAAGGATTCCCCACATTAAGCTACCATGTGGTTCCTGGGAATTGAACTCAGGACCTCTGAAAGAGCTGCCAATGCTCTTAGCCACTGAGCCATCTCTCCAGCCCCAGATTTTACAAATCTTTAACCAGTTTAGTAAGTTTATTGGGTACAAACCTTGAGGTACAGAAAGTTTACATAATAGTCTTCCAGATCTTGGGATAAGAGTCATGCTGTAGCAAAAGTTTTAGGGTTAAAACCAAAAAGTGTATGAAATGAGTAGCAACAGTCACCATTGGGAATAGTCTATTCTTTTGTCGTGGTTTGCCCTCTTTTCTCTGTCATGCAGTCTGGTGGCCTGTCTAGCGGGGGACAGAGATTTTAGAGCAAACCTTTAAACACATGCTTGGGTCTGGAGGAGGGGGAGCTATCCCAACTCCAGAGTCAGCTTTTCATTGAAGTAGAACAGGCATAAAACACATTTTAATATTATCTATACCAAAAAGACACCTGAATTCCTGTAAAACTGAATCCAGTGGCCAAGGGGAGGCACAAGAGTAAGTTGAGAAGAAAGAGGGCTTAGATATAAGAACTTCTTGAGCCCTGGCTTTTGACAGAATGCTGCAGGAGGGAGGTGAGAGACACTGGGTACCAACCAGCGAGGAGTGTATGCTGAATGTGTGCATGCCACAGCTGGCCTGCTCACTCACTCTTTCCTTATCTAGAACTAGAACATACCCTTCAAGAGAGATCGAGGAAATAATATTAGGAGATAACAAATTTTAACAAACCTGACTCTTGGCTTCCACATTTGTAACAAATTACAAAAACACAGATCTGTCAAATA